TGGGCCCTTTAGATATCCTGGGCCCTTTACATATCCTGGGCCCTTTAGATATCCTGGGCCCTGGGCATTTGCCCAGTTTCCCATATGGATAATCCGGCCTTGAGAATATTCACAAATCTGACTTAAATTGTACTTTGTTCTCCACGTCTGTCCTTCTCACTTCTCCAATGGTTGCAGACTTTGTCCAGGTTGATGATCTGCTTCTTGCTTTGACTTTATGCACATCAGCTGGTCCAGATGTGCCACTTCAAGATGATTTCTGGATGCTGTTTGGATATGATTCATTAAACTAACTCCTCTTTCACAATCTGCCCTGGAAGCTTGAAATGTAGCACAAATCTCCACAAGCTGTGAGATGTTTAGCTCCTCATCATATCTGAGAACGTGCTGATTGACCCGTTTCAGTTGTTGCTTCATGATGAACTTGAATTCAGCATACTGACTGTTCATGGCCTCCACACACTGGGGCTGGTGGAGAATGTCAGACTCATGTCTGAGCTCGGTGCTTCATGTCAAATGCAGACCACTCGCTCCTTTAGTTCATCCTGTGGAACACGAGCGTCCATGTGATCACAGAACTTACTGATCAGAGTCATGTCAGCAGCACGTCTGCCATCAGCTGGTGAGGTCCTGCTGTTTCTTTACACGCTCACTCCACTCTACATCCAAAACTTGTTGCTACTTTGGCTTCGCTGCATGTTTTCAGAGCAGACCTTTCTCACTCGAAACATAAAAAATCTCATCCAGTTTCAGCGTTTGTTCTTGTGTTTGCACGTACTCTGACAGACTTTACATCTTAAAAGAACCACATTTCTTTTTTACGTTGGCTTGATGAGTGGATCTGTCACTGTCCGTTAGTTTCACCATGATATGGGTTTAGCATTTACGTGTCTTAACTCTGCCTCAATGTTGTTACCTAGCTTACCTGCATGACGCCACGGCACATATGGGTAGGGCACATGCGCAACTTGCGTCTGTTCCGTAACTTGCACTGTCAATGCTATGATTGGCTGTGAAGCGTAAGTGAACCGTATCGTAGTTGTATCATATTTTTCATTCAACCTTTATTTATCCAGGTTAGTCTCATTGTCTGGACACCTGTCACTCACAGTTACATTGCAAAATGATACAGAAAAAATGTTACTGGTCTTACTAATTTACAGTTTATGTTGAATTTTATTTTATGCGCTGCATAGATGTTGTTGAGCGCAGAGACTGTGCGAGCAGTGCGTGATTGCACAGGCTTAGAGGGAACAATTCTTCAGGGCCTGTCTTGTGTGGGATTTCTCCTTCTGCCTGGCTCCTGAGCTAGTGGGGACGCTGTCTGCTCTGTGGTACAGAGTCCTGATGACTCCTAACTTGTGCTCCAAAGGGTGATGGGAGTCAAACTGCAAATACTGGTCTGTGTGGGGGGGTTTGCGGTACACCTCAGTTTGCAAATGTCCTCTATCAGAGACTGAGACCTCACAGTCCAAGAAAGCCAACCTGCCATTTTTTACATCTTCTCGTGTGAACTTGATGTATTTATCCACAGAGTTGATGTGGTCAGTAAAATGTTGGACTTCCTGAGATTTACTTTGAACCCAGGTGTCGTCAACATACCTGAACCAATGACTTGGTGGTGTCCCTGAAAATTAAATCTTAAAATTAAATCTCAGGAAGTATAAAACCCATGTTAATTCTTATATTTTTCTTCTGCTCCAAAAGGAGCTAATTTCAAGTTAATGTTTTCCTTGTTTACTTTTTATTTTCAATGTTATTTAGTACAAATTGTAATGAAATTTGCATTTTTTTCTTTTTGGTACATTTTAGGTAAATAAACCACGTGAGAAGAATGGCATCAGACTCTCCACGCAGACCGAGTCGCTGTGCTGGAGGAGTTTTAGTACGAGCTCAAGCAGCAACGTAAGAGCACAAGTTGTTTTTATCTTTGTAAATAATACAAACCACCTGGCATAACTGCTAGAAAATACTGTTTATTAATATTTTTGTGGCCAACTTATCTCAAATTGCTCCTGGAGGACATGTAAATCTTGAAGCTCTGCTCAGAGCCTCCCCCAGTAGCATCTGTGGACCCTTATCAGAGTTGAGCCGGGTGATAGACACCGTGCCACCTTGATCAGGACTATGGAACTTTATGGTTGTGTTCACAGACAATCTCACTACCTTCGTCGGCCTCCTCCCCCCCTGCAAAATGTCTTATGTGTCTCTTTTTTTTTGCTGAGGTAGTTTTTTTTGTTGCTACTTTACACTGTGCCCTGTGTCTGGGACACAGTTTGGGAGATCTTTTTTATACCTTCTTTCCTCAGGTTTTCCCTTTTTCTTAGCTCAGTGATAATGGCAGCGCTTCACCCCGGAGCTGCAGGCCCCGTGCACTTCTTTCTACCCTTGTTGGACAACTACACTGAAATGATTTTTTGCTGCGCTGAACTGTGCAATGACAATAAAGTTGATTCTAATTCTATCACTCCTGTTTTTTATGACAGAAACCATCATTTTAAATTATATTATCGCTTTAGACTCTTCAAAAAGAGTATTTTTATTAAAATTTTCAAAAGATTGAAGTATGCCCCAAACTCTGCTGCCTGATTATTATCCACACTAAAAATTGGCAGCTTGCTCCAATCCTCCACTTGGGTCTTGGGTTATTTCAAAATTCTGTCACTTTTACAAATCACTGTATGGCTCTTCTCCTCAGCGCCCATTAGTCTTGAGTCTTCTCCCTGTTGACACACACTTGACCATTGGAGATATTCATAAACCTCCTAAAATGTTACTAATTTACCAAAGTACACAGTCTAATGTAGTTTTATTTTTCCTTATTAGTCTTTAAACTGCACCTTTTTTAGGGGTTGTTACTTATTTCATTAATGCACTGTTTTACTTTGTTTTTCCTAATGTGAATGTGGGTTTCTTTATTAAATATTTTGTACATATTTTGAGTCATTTTTTTTGTTTGCACAGGGAGCAATCATATATGGAAAGTGTTGTCACCTTCCTGCAGGATGTAGTACCCCAGGTAAGCATGTATTTAAGTATGTCGTGTGCTAGTTTGGCATAACCAGCAAAATACACAAATGTGATGTGAAATGCAGTGCTCATCTGTAAACATCGTATTGGCCTTTTACCAACGTTGTGACTTCACAGCAGCTTTGACAAGTCATTTACATATCCCCCAGCTCTAGCAAGGTTAAATTGCTGCATTTCATTTACATTGGAACTTGGAACTGGGAAGCTGGAATGATGTAATCTCCTAGATGACGACGTTCCAGTTTCTAGCTTGTCGAAAGTCTAAAAAAAGATGGAGCCTAGTTGGAGGCGAACAAGCGTTTGGATGGTTGAAGTGTAAGAGGAGACGTCTTGATGAGTTGCAGAACCCCAGAAATGATGCTGCAGCCTGCTCTGTACCACATGTGGTGCAAACAACAAATAAACTCTGACTCTGACTCTGTACCTGCTTGTAGGACTTGTGTGAAAAATCTGATGTTTTAAGTCATATTTATGTAGAAATATGAATAATTATAAAGACTTCACAAACTTTTAAGTGGCACTTTATGTTCCTATAGACAGTGTAACTCCTACCCACTTAAGTATTTTACCACAAGAAATGTTAAGGTTCATTTGCATTCCCTGACCTTTTCCATCATAGAAAGACACTCATCTCAATATCGACATAGTTCACTTTTCAAATCCCTAATCGACAGCAGACATCAGCATACCGCTTGTTTACAGAGTGTTCTTTTTTTAAATTGCAGGCATATACAGGGGCTCCACCCACAGACGAGAAGGAGAAAGTTATTTGGGTTCGATTTGAAAAAGCCGACATCAACGGTAAGAAAATTCTGTCCAATATTTATCCACAATGGTCACTTGTGATTGCATTCACCCAAATTTAAAATATTTTCAAAGTTCTTAAGTAAACATAGAAAAGAGCACACCTCTGTTGTATCCTACTAACATAAAATTAAGACAGTTTTGCTGATCTTCCAGTTTAATAATCTTTATCAGTTTATCACATTTTTGTCATATTCACGTTACCAGTAGAACATTTACTAAAATTTTCGAACTCTCTCAAATATTGTTCACAAATTAAATTTGTGATTGGTGGATTGAAGTCAGTCTCCCCATCATCACGGACATCTACACCTCCAGATACAGGAAGAGGGCCACCTGCATCATGAAGGACCCCACTCACCCAGCACACACACTTTTTGTCCCGCTCCCCTCAGGAAGGAGGTTGAGGAGCATTAAGTGTAGAACCACCAGACTCAGAAACAGCTTCTACACTGAAGCTGTTAGACTCATAAATCTCTAACCAGGAGAATCACTGTAAGGAAGAAAAAAATCACTATAATGCAATTTATTTTATTTTAATTTTTGGTTTGTTTTTTTCCTCACTCGCTCTCGTGCAAGGCGTATACATTTTCTTCCTTCTCCCATCCTCCTCCTGCTTTTCTGCTCTCTGTCTTGTGTATCGGAGCTCCTATTTACACATCTTCTGAAACAGAAAACTACTGTCATGGATCTGGTCAGCTGGCCTTTCAACTCAATCAATAAAAATCTTTTCAACAAAGAGACAGGGTCCTGGAGAGCTCTCATGCCCCACTGAGATGCACGCGGCAGAATATGTCATGGATCCGTGGGGAGTTTGGTAGCTGATGTGTCTTTCCGTATTGTCTCAGGAGGACGCCGAAGATGTTTATATAAATGGAATCATGATAGCAGGGTTTCTGCTTTTTGGCATTGGCAGATTCCTATGTTATCAGCTATTGAAGAAGACAGTGGCAGCAGTTTTGACCATGGCAAAACTGCAGAGTCTGTGTGAAGGTTTGGTTTGTGCTTTGAGTACTCAAAATCAGCTAATATACTAGCTAAACCATAACATGGAAACGATTTGTGAGAATCATAGGCCACCTGTGGCTTCTGGGGTTCGCCAGCATGCTGGGGACGACCTTGGAGGGGGCTTATAAGCATGGACCAGTGGAACGCCCACAAATCTGGCCATTTTGTATCGAAAGTACCAGCAGGACTCGAGGCTGACAAGAAAAAACTGTCTGCCTGAAAAAAAAAAAAAATCAACAATTATGGCCTATCTGAATCTGACTCCCCCGTTTGGCCTCGAAGCAGGCCAACGTATCAAATTTCTCCTGGGATATATGTAAATTATTGAAAAACTCTGTCTATCACAGCGTATGTTATGGACAACAAACACAGGAGCTTGTTTGGTTACATGTGGTCTAAGGTTGTGAGGCCTGTAGGATTTACTGCCACATTATCTGAACATGGACATTCCTGCAGTCAGTATTGCAACATCACCCTCTCTCAAAACTTGCAACATCTGTAGCATTGTGCTGTGCAAAAAAACTGCACATTTTAGAGATTGAAAGGTTTAGTTCAATGTCAGACAGTAAGAAAAAAACAGTTGTTTTTCATACACTATATGTAAATGGTTTAAACTATTAATCTTGGATCATTATTTTTTTTAAAAGGCCATTAATGTAATTATTTTCTAAATAAAATTTGTAACTGTCTATTTAATGGTTTATAAAGTGTTTAAAATGAATTAATAACTGGGTTATTGACTATTTGTAACCCTTTATATAGGTTACTACATTATAAAGTGGGACCCTTAATTGAAACACATTAGACAGATCTTTCGCCTGTATTTTCTGGTAATTTTCTATTTTCACAGACACATCCCGAAACCCAGAGTTTATGGAGATGCACAATGGTACCTCTGACCCTCCACTCTGCCTTCTGATTGGTTACACTGATGGCATGCAGATCTGGAGCACATCTGTAAGTCTTGCATGGTTTTACATGGTTCTTTTTGTAACATTTGTCCTTATAAACATAATGAATTTAAGTGATTTGTTTAAACAAAGTGTTTTTATTAGTATATTCATTTTAAACAGACATAAGCAAAGAACAACATAGAAACCCCCCACTTCCATCCCTTCCCTCCCACACCGGATCAGTCAAACATATTGTAATTATTGGGCTTTAAAACTCACCTGTCTCTAAGCCGCACTTATTAAATATAAGATTAATTATAATTTTGTACATAAATAAGACGCTCCAGTTAGTTAGCCACGGGCATCCACTGTTCATCGTCTGGATCTGTGCTCCCAGTCAGTCAGCTCTGACTGTGTGCATCTTTCTTGTTGTAGTACAGAAACCAGCCAGCAGGTGGTGTTTCACACAGTATAGTTTGTTTTCAACACACACTCAGGTCGTTTTCACACCAGATAGTCCGGTAGACTCGGTTCGGTTCGGGACCAATATTCATGACCTTTTGTTACATTTGAGCTGGTGCGTTTGCATTCACACTGCACTGTGCAGTCGAGTCAACCTGTTGAACCAACCTGTTGAACCAACCTGTTCCCCCGCTCGCCTGTGGGGGCGCTGCACCAAGAACTACTGAAAGAAACAACACAAAAACCTCTGAAGACACGTCTTCTTTAAATAAAAATAAAAACGAAGTGGCATCAAGTTTTAGCAGTTTTAGGAGTTATATTTTGTCATTTTTCAAAAATGGACTCAGCATGAGCAGAAGATGAGACAGAAGACCATGGAGAATATTGTTTTTCACACAAGTCAGCTGACGGCTCCATATAAGGTCAGAGAAATGTGTGTTTGTTTGTCCTGCGGAGCGGGGCTCGGTCTGATTACATTCACACTGCACTCGAACCGCGCTGGAGTTCTCTTCTACCGGACCGAGACCTAGGTTTTAGCCCGGGCCAGAGTTCGCTTTTTGTTTCGTGACAGAGTTCGATGGCGCGTTCACACCTCCCTAAACAAACCGGACTTTCTAGGAAAACGAGCTAGAGTTCGATTAAAGCGACTAAACAGGGCTGGTGTGAATGCACCCTTAGACTGCAAGTTCGTCACGAGTCTTCATGAAGCTTGACCGTCTGACTCATGGTTACAACCATTAAACCTTCAAAATGAACACAAGAACTGTCTAAGTATAATCACTGGACAGAACAGTGCCAAACACCTACGTAACTGAAATTATTTAAAAATTATTTACCGGTAAATATAACCAAGAAGTCTTATCAGGGTCATGTGACCAGAAGTCAACTAGTACCGGTAGAATGTGGTAAATATTCATTAAATTAGTACCATTGATTTTGATTGTTAAACATCTTTGTTAACAACTGCAGTTTTAAATGAACGTTCTAAATAAATGTGATGTGATTCTCCTCAGCAGAGCTCATATGAGGAGGAGGAGCAACCCCTCCCACCCGTTGTCTCCTCTGCTCTATTTAATGCCCGTTTAAGCTCAAATGAGATACTGGTATTTAAACACATATTTACCTTACACAGAAAGATTTTTTAAAAACTTTTATTTAAATATATATCAGTCTTGACTGACTGACTGATTTAAAAATAAACCTGACGACTTCTTCAGCGCTGAGCTCTCGTGACGGAAAGGGGAGGGGGGAAGACTTCGTGTTCAGATGAGAGTTCAAAATGAGATCCCGGTATTTAAATGCATATTTACCGACACAGAAAGATATAATACAGAAATAATTTAAAAGCTTTTATTAAAACATGTACCAGACTTGACTGCTGCGTCTCCAATCCTGACCATGGACACGTTGATGCATCTACGGGCTGCAGCTGTTTCCTCCTCGACAGCTGATCGATCACTTTTAACACGAAAGCTGCGTCATCAGAAATTCTCCGTGTGTTTTCCATTATCAAATAAACAGGTCTGTGCATGAAGCGCAAAATCTGGTAACAACACAGGAACGATCTGAAGAAATTAATTCGCATCTATCTTGGGGGATGGTCCTCGACCTCGTTGATCATTCAGGTTAGACTTCTGGTCACATGATGACAGAGTGGGTGGAGTTATGGTTTGGTGTTTGAAACTGTGAGCAAACGGCTTTGTACATCTGATTACTGAGGGCGTTCTGTCTGTGTCACAAACACCTGCCCCCATGAGGGGCGGGGCACTGGGAGCCACTGGCTTCCAGATCTGTCAAAATAAAATGCTAGTCAGTGGCAGGAAGTTACAGAGAGATGGCAGGAAGTCTTTCAAAATAAAATATAAAAATGTAATTTCTGAAAATTATTTAAAAAAAATACATAAATAAGACGCTCCTTCATATAAACTGCAGGATACAAAGTGTGAGGAAAAAAGTTGTGGCTTGTACAACAGCAATTATGGTAGATATGTGAATGAGAGGGAGGCCGATGGAACAATGAAGCTACAAGGAGCAAAGGTCACAAAGATGCAGGACTTCAAAGACTTGGGGTCCACTGTCCAGGAAAACGATTGAGATTTGTGACAAATGTGTGGCAGTAACAGTCAAAGGAAAGGTTTCAAGACAGTGGTGAGACCAACTATGTTGTATGGTTTGGAGACAGCGGCACTGACAAGAAACAGGAGAAAGGACTGGAAGTGACACAAACATGTTTGTAACGTCCCCTATCTCTCTGATTTTCTACAACCGTATGTCCCACCACGCTCCCTGAGGTCAGCGGACCAGTTGCTCCTCACATTTCCAGGAACTCGTCTTAAGCGCAGAGTAGGGCATTAACAGAGTACTCGAGTAATCTACACATCGATTGCTAGGACCTCTATCGAGGTTAAAAATTTAACATTGAGTATCCGTAGTGACGTCATATTATGTGACCACCGTATGACCGTAGGGGGCGGTGTTGCACTGTTGCAGGTCACAGAGTATGGTGTAACACCAGGTCCAAGCCACCGAACCAGTTTCGGTTAAGTTTCGTTTTTGACGTGCTGCATGTTTCTTCACGTTTGTAGTTTAATAATAATAACTAATAGTTTAGTTTTTCCTTTGACTTATTTGCAGTATGATGAATGGTAGGAGCATGATATACTGTTTTGTTGGTCTTTTTTGTTGTTGTAAATAATTACCTTATTTTTGCGGTTTTATTTATTTATTTATTTTTGTATCTTGAGATCTATGACGTCATCAAATACTCGAGTTCTACTCGGGTTTTATTATGTTAATGTCGATTTTAAAACATATGTACTCGTTCAACCCCTAGCGCAGAGATGACAGGACCTTCTCTGTAGCAGGACCAAGACTCTGGAACGAGTTACCTCTGCTTGTCAGACAGGCCCCCTCCCTCTCGGTTTTCAAGTCCCGTTTAAAAACTCATTACTATTCAGTATCTTTCAACACCAGATGATCTGTGTTTGATCCTGTATGCTCCACACTGGTTTGTCGTCATTATCTGCATCGATTTTATGTCTATATTCTGATTTACCTCATTTTGTATTTTGCTGTGTGTGTTACCTGTTGTTCTGTCTGTACAGCACTTTGGTTGGTCTTGTTGCTGTTTTAAGTGCTTTATAAATAAAGTGGTATGGTATGGTATATTGATTCTCCTTGAGGGTGACCAGGATTGATAAGATTAGAGAGGAGATCTTCAGAGGTACAGCACTGGTTGAACAACTGGGAGATAAAGTTAGAGAGGCCACACTGAGATGGTTTGGACATGTTCAGAGGAGGGACACTGGTTTGGACATGTTCAGAGGAGAGACAGTGGTTTGGACATATCCAGAGGAGGGACAGTGGTTTGGACATGTCCATAGGACAGAAAGTGGTTTGGACATGTTCAGAGGAGAGACAGGTGTTTGGACATGTTCAGAGGAGGGACAGTGGTTTGGACATGTCCAGAGGAGGGACAGTGGTTCAGACATGTCAAGAGTAGGGGCAGTGGTTTGGACATGTTCAGAGGAGGGACAGTGGTTTGGACATGTTCAGAGGAGAGACAGTGGTTTGGACATGTTCAGAGGAGAGACAGTGGTTTGGACATGTTCAGAGGAGAGACAGTGGTTTGGACATGTTCAGAGGAGAGACAGTGGTTTGGACATGTCCAGAGGAGAGACAGTGGTTTGGACATGTTCAGAGGAGGGGCAGTGGTTCGGACATGTCCAGAGGAGGGACAGTGGTTTTTGACATGTTCAGAGGAGGGACATTGGTTTGGACATGTTCAGAGGAGAGACAGTGGTTTGGACATGTTCAGAGGAGGGACAGTGGTTTGGACATGTCCAGAGGAGGAACAGTGGTTTGGACAT